CAGGAGGCAGCCTGGGATCGAACCACCGACCTTCTGATTAGTGGCTGACCTGCTCTGCCACCTGAGCTACAGCCACCCCTAACTTAACATGTGTATAAGGTACGCCTAACAGCAGAAGGGAGTGAACATCCTCCCCTCTCATGGTGCAGAGAGTGCACCCAGAACCTTAGCAGACCTAAATAAGGATGAGACATTTAACAACATACAAACAATTATATGTTTCTAAGTACAAATGACAATCATAAGGTATCACTCTCACAAGAGCAGTCCAGTAACCAAAGACTGGGACTGTTAGACTCACTGAAGACAGAAGTGGCACGTCCTCCAAACTGGTATCTTTTGGTAAAATTTCAGGAGGCAGGAAGTGGAGCAGAATATGCCAGTGTGGTTTTTCCTCTGGTAAACTGTCTCTCCATCCATGAGGGCCTGTTTGCAGGCGGAGCACGATGCAGGGACATCCGTGTTGGTGAGCGAGGGCTCTGCAGGTTTGGATTCGTCGGTCAAGGAGAAAACCGACCCAATCTTTAAGTCCTCCTGTAAAAACCAGAACAGGAGACGATGCGCGGGTGGAGTGCTTTAAATGATCCCCTGGATATTTAGATGATTTAATGTGCTGTCTATGTTTTTCTAGTTACAATAAATGACATCATTGTGTCCAGTAACATCTAACTGAAATAATAAAGAAGTTACTGTATAATGTAAAGGGGAAAAAGATTGATAATGATTGAGTATCTTACCTTTACTACATTTGGCTCCTTCTTGATGTCCTGATGAGAAACTGAGGCTGTGAGACTCTGGCTGTACCCCTCATCGATGGGCTCTGTTTTGATCTTGATGAAGAGGCAAGAGAGATTTGGATTAACTGTGTAAGGTTAATAGCAAAGGCCTACATGTGGAGCACTGTGAGGACTCTAACGTAAGTGGTAATGTACTGCAAAGAGATTTAATAAACAGAATTTATTGTAATCATGAATTGCTGTTATCATTCAGTTGTTAATAACATTTATTCTGTCACTGAATCCAAACTGGGTTTAAGATATTCATACATTATGGCTACTAAAGAAGACATTTTTTACATAAAACTTACGCAGTTGAGATGTATTACAGATGGCTTCGCGTCTTTAACCTCACAAACTTCAGATGAAGAGCTTTTCTTGTCTATAAGGACAAAAGCATGAACAATATTTCTGCTTTTGACAACTAAAAGCTAAAAAACTGCTGTCCAACTGCAAAGTTCAGCGCAGCACAATAGAGCACACTTTCTCTGCAGTTTGAAATATGACTGGACATACCCGTCACAGTGAAGGTCTGGGCCTCGTACACCATCATACACCTGTTGCTGCAGAAGAACTCCAGCCCGCCTTCATCATTTTTATTTTCTATCATGTCTGACAGCTGATGGGACGTCTGGCACATGGGGCAGAGCTGACGAGTGCCAACTTTCTGCAAAGATAACGAATGAAAAATGTGAGATGAAGAACACCAGTACCTTAGACATATGTTGTAAAGTATTATGCCTACTCCACATTTATCAAGGTGAGACTCATAATGGTTTTTAAAACTGAACTGAGTGTCTTAAACAGAAGTTATAACACTTTGCTGTTTGCATTTAAGCTGCACACGTTTTGCTTAACACGTGAAACACAAAGCCTGGTGATGACCTGTTATTAGTTCGTTTAAATTATCAGATGCTCTATGGGTTAAAATGTGCCCTGATTTCTTTTTATTTCTCAAGTCCTTAGTTTTCAAACATCCGGTCCTGAAATAACATTTAATGAACATTTAATAATTTCTGTGTGTTTTCCTCATACTGACACAGTAACAGGATGTCTGGATTATATGATGGAATTACATTAAGCACAAATACATTAAGGGAATATATAAAAGATGGCCTCATGTTACCTGCACATAGCTACTTTACCACAGACATGGTTGCTTGATTATGATTAGTAATTAACAGTTCTAATAACTAAAAATAATAAAACATGCTCCTCGTTCTCTTTCCTCTCAACTAGCCACCTTCCAGCAATCTCTTCCTGTTAAAAAGGAGTCCTTCCTTTGCACTTTGCACATTCCTGCTATGAATGTGTTGTTTTAGGCACATTCAAGTCTTTTTGTCAAATATGGAGATAATGTGTTTGGGTTTTTTTTGTTTTGTTTTTATTTCTGCACCTCTTTAAACTTGACCAGACATTCATCACTGCAGAGGGCTTTACTGTCGTCCTCCAGCTTGACCACGAGACGTTTGTTGTAGCAGACGGCGTCACACATGTCGCAGAGAGACAAGCGCAGGTTGTTGACTTTGCGGTAGCTCATGAAGCAGGAGTCACTGCAAAGTCTGTGGACCACGCCATTCAGGGTCACCGTGAATTTGCACTAAGGTTGGAAAGGGAACGTGTTAAGAGTAGTTATTACAAAAATAGATTATGAACGTGATAATAATAACAACAAGTTTTAAAGTAAAAGGATGGAGATATTCTGCAGCTTTTTTTTTTTTTAAATTGTCACAAACACTCGCCTCCAGCGTTGTCTAAGAATCCTTAAACAGTTCATGACAAATGCGCTACAATCCCTAATGCATATAAAACAGAGTTCAGAGTAATTTACTTTATTTCTTTTCCTTACATAACAACATCTGGCACACATCCTGCACTGTGAACTAGGTCCCTCTTTTGGTGGAGGCTTAGTAGCAGCCTTTTTCATTTTGGATGTGACGGAGGAGAGACATGTATCGCTGCACAACTCCTTCATAGTTCCCGAATCATCCACCGGAGCCAGGATGATGTTTTGAGGTCGCGCAATCACCCTGAAGAAATAAGATGAAAGAGATCAAAGAGATTTCTGAGTCACTGAGATTAAATTTTTTGTAGATCAGCATGTCAAGTTAGCACATTGACAAACCTGTTGAATCTGTAGAATGTTTGTTTTTGTGCATTTAACCCCGCTGCTCATTTAAATGGAGAATTAAAATACAGACTTACTGAAAGCAGTTGTGGCACTTTTTGATGGGTATTTTGATCTCGCGACGCTTTTCATGTAAGCAGGCCATGGAGCAAAAAAACTCCTCTGTGTCTTTCGGCTTGTAAAGTGTCTCTCCTTCCAACAAATTCTTTTTGCAGTGGAAACAGAGCGTGCACTCGTCGGCGATGAGCAACACTGTGTCGTTTGGTTCGACAGCATCCTCCTGTGGGAAGAGCCTCGGTTAGTATATAGGGATTAGAAATCTTCCCCAGACTTGAATGTAAGCTCTGTTTTCTGTGACTGAAGCGGAAAAAGAAACAAAGCATACTCACAGTGTTTGTCTCTTTTGATTGGTTATCGTTTTTTCTCTTCACTGAAGGGAGAAATCAGACATGTGATTACTGAAAATACAGCTGCTGTTCATGACTTGATCAATAACCTTTAGGAGTCACACAGATGAAATTATTAAATATGATCCAAACTTTCCTCCTCCACACAAAGTCAATGTAAGGCTTGTTGGGACACACTTAAGAAACACTTACTGGATTTATCTCACATGTTGGAGGCATATGGACACTTTTTAAATAGAGGATGTCAAGACGAATGAAGAGAATTATAATAAAGGGAAAAGAAATCGATACTTCTGTTAAGAACTTTCAGAATAAAAGCAAAGACAGGATGCAGAGATTTGTAAGGTGAGCCTTTTACCTACAGTTAAGGTGATTGCTTGAATTTAGCAAGTAAAAGTACAACAAGTCACAACATCACAGACTTCTACCAACAGTATTTGAATTCTATGTTTTTCTGTCACTAGATTTCTCTTTATAGAGACATGTTTGTTAACAAACACATCAATAGTCTTATTACTATCTTAATATAACAACATCATGGTTATTACAAAATAAGAGTTTTTGAGTATTTGTAAATCCTGTGAAAAAGTTATCATTCAGTAGCTTTTGGTTTTGAAATAGTGACAGTGAAAATCTGACCACAACACTATCACTTCTGAATATGAGGAAACCTCAAAAGAGTGAAAAGGAAGAAAAAGAGATAGGAGTGCCACTTGAAAGGCTGATTCAGTCTGAACTGTTTTTGCAGTAGTTACACTGCCTCGCTGCTGGATTCTGTGGCTTCTCATGGCTCAGTATGATTTTATTTTACCTTTTAGACGTGGCATCAGTGCACTGTGGTCCTATTTTTTATGAAATCTATGACAACCCAAGATTTTCCTCACACCCTATTCCTCCACAAGTATGCAGATAAATGCTACACAAACATAATTCATTCATTTCAATTATATTATCATTTCACACTAAACCATCTCTGGGGTTTTGAGGGGGAAACCAAGCCTTTCTCTAGGCAATAATGCTGTTCCAACCACACCTTTCAGCTAAGAAAACTGAGCTCATTAAAATGAGACAGTAGAAGATTGGAAGAATGTGGCCTGGTCTGATTACTGCTGATACTGGGATGGTATGGGCAGAATCTGGCAAGAACAATATGAAAGTATTGATCGATTCTGCCTTGTATCAACAGTTCAGATTGGTGGGGGTCTAACAGTGTGCAAGATCATTTCTTGGCACAGTTGATGCTGACCAATTCCATCCCTTTGTGACCCCGATTTCAGCCAAGCTTTGGCTGTCAGAGAGATGGCCTCACATTTGACTCTAGAACACTTTGGTTTTGGTAAATTCAGTGGTTACAATGTGCCCAAAACCTCCGCCACAGGGCCTGGAAGCAGCCATCCTCTGATGTCAGAATTTTCAGATCATGTCAAACTGGTTCTTGAACATGATGATGAGTTCACTGCACTCAAATAGAACTCACCAGAACCCAATCGAGCACCTTTGGGAGGTGGTGGAACAGGATATTTGCTGACATGCAGCTGACAAATCTGCAGCAACTGTGTGATGCTATCATGCCGACATGAACCAAAATTTATGAAACTATACCATGAAGGATTATGGCTGTTTTGAAAGCTAAAGGGGTCAACACAGTGCTAGCAAGATGTACCTGATTAAATGTCTGGTGAGAGAGTAACTTGTATGTGATAAAAACAGTTTAAATTGTTTCGTTTTAAGAAGTGAGTGCTATATGTCTTTTATAACGTCTCTGATTTTGACCTGAAGATCCAGTAAAAAGATGTGAAAAATGGACGTTTGACAGATTCACTGTGGATTACCTTGATCCATCTCATCTGTCAGTCGCAGCTTGTAAGATTTCACACAAAAGCGGCCGCAGAAGAGCTGCACCACATTCTCATCGTTTTTAAAGTTAACCATGTCCAAGACAGGTCGTGAAAAGAGGCAAGTGGTGCAGCGTAGGAGCATCCTGGAGTTCTGCAGAATAAATGTTTTTTTAAAAAGAGATCTTTGGGTTTTTGTGTAGATAATTACAACATTTTGGTCCCACAACTTTGCATTTTCCCTCTCTGATGTATCCGCACCTCTTTGAACTGCTTGAGACAACCACCACTGCAGAATGTTTTGTTATCATCCTCCAGCTTCAGCGTGAGCGGTTTGCTGCGGCACACAGAGCTGCAGTTCTCACAGATGCCCGTGTTGTTCTTGCAGAAATCATTGAAGCATGCGTGGCTGCAAAACCTGATGACTGCCTCGTTCAGGGTCAGCTCACATTTGGTCTGAAGTCAGTGAGAAAGGAGCCGTGGACATAAGATTATGGATTATAAAAAACTTTTTTGTTTAGTTATTAATATTAATAAAATGCCATTGAACGGGATAATAAAGACATACAGCTCTTAAAAGAGACACTGTGATGTGCATGTACATGCAATTAAAGGCAACAAATACGATTTTTTTTTTACCATAATAAAGGGAAAAATAAAAACTCTGAACACCCAGGTATCAAAAGAAAAAAAAAAGTGCTTACACTGCAGACTTTTTTGCATATGTTGCAGACTGACTTTTGTGTTTGGGTGGATGCAGACTTGAAAGAGCTCAAGCAAGCAGGGCTGCAGAAGTCCTTCATAGTTCCTTTAGTGTCCACAGCAGCCATGATGAGGTCCAGAGGCTGCGATATCGCCCTGATCGAAGGGGAGGACAAACACTTAACACAGACACTTAGATATCCTATAACCATCCTACCTGCTCAGCAACAAACAGGAGAAATAATTTATTAAATAATAATTAAATAATCGTCACCTGCTGGACAAAGCGATTCATTCAGCAGCTTAACAGGTAGATGATTCCATCAGGAGCTGCTCTGAAACACGGGTCTAAACTGAGCAATCATCTGGTGGCTGCTTAACTAACAGTGACCTCATGCAGTTTATAACTTAATGTCATTATAATGTCATATTGTTGTATATACTCTTTGGTTATGCTGCCCTCAAGTGGATAAAAGTCTTTAATAGAAATAAATGAAAACAGTCCGTGCCTGTTAGTCATCGAGAACAGAGCACAGTTTCAACAACACTCACTTATGACATTGGTGACAGGTCTTGGTGGCTGGTTTGTTGTAAGAAAACATCTCAAACAGACAGTTTTTGGAGCAGAAGACGTCTGAGAAGCCCTTCTTCTGGTAAGCAGTGTGTCCCTTCATCATGCTCTTTTTGCAGCGGGAGCAGTTCATGTGCACTGCCTGAAATGTAAAAGTGTAAATCACACAGTTGATTAAACACATTTTTACAGCATTTTATGCACTGATGAGCTACAACACTAAAACCCAAATGTGTAAAACACAGATTGCCATTGCTGTGGTGCGCTAAAGACGATCTCTGACACAGCCCCCAAAGACAGTTCAGCAATAGCATGAGGAGGTGTTCAGCTGGTCTCCACTCACTAGCGAGAACCACCTTCGATCCACAGACCATGCTAGCAATTTCCAGAGTCAGACACCTGAACACAGAGATCCTGTGACCACGCCCTGATGGGTCTGAGCTGTTCTGACAGCACGAGGGAGATCTGCCTCTAATAGAGCTGTTCTCATAATCCAAGTGATCCCTTTAATGGTATCAAAGTTTTACTGACAAAAGAAATCAATCTGAGAGGGCAGTGAAAGAAAAACAGCTGGCATGCTTGTCGGACTTAAGAAGATTTTATGTGTTATGAAAATAAAACTAATGGACATTTAGTCTCTTAAAAACTTTAAAAGGCATCCAGAACATTTATGGATTTGATCATTTTCAATTCAGTTCAATTCAATTTTATTTATATAGCACCAAATCACAACAACATTTGCTTCAAGGCACTTTATACTTTAACATAAATAAACTACAACAATAACGTTTTAATCCTTGTAATTGATAGATAGATTATGGAAAACACCTTTCTACAGGCCTGATATCCTGATATTTCATACATTCAGCTCAGATGATTTCACCGAAAATATAGATTTTACAGACAAATTCTACTTCGTTAGAAGAGAAGAACGTTTTCCTACCTTTTCAGAGCTGGGCTTGTTTGTGACCTCTGTAAGTGGAGTAGGTCTTGCACTCTGTTTCTTGTCATCATGGACGGGTTTATCTTCCACCGGCTGCTTGTTACTCAAAGATGACAACTGGGAAATGTGGATGGGATGCTGCACCTTCTCCTACATTTAAAGAGTAGTTTGTAAAGAATGCAGCGATGCTTACAGACCTCACATTTATTCAACTTTTTAAAAGTGTCATTTTCAGCAGGTTGTAAAACATAACAACAAACTGGACTCACGATGTCTAGTTTTGGGATTACTATCTTCACTTCTTTCATCAGAGCCATGGGCACCGATAGGTTGGTCTTCTTTTTTGTGACTAGTAAAACACATTTCCACTTTAGTGGGTCAAACCTCTCCACAGTTCCCAGTTAACAGAACATGAACCCATTTTTCACCAGATTTAGTTTACCTTCATTTAAAGTGGGAGCAGAAGCATTACTGTCCACATCCATCCAGTCATCATCTTCATCATAGTCCTCCTCCACATGGTTCTCTGTGTCGATATCCATTGCCTCTGCGAGCTCTTCATCAGCACTGTGCTCGTCTGGAGACGTATTTTTCTGCTCTCCGTCATCATCCTTGTTGCTCTTCTTGACTTCTGTTGTTGCATCTTCATCTGTTACCCTGGGCTTTGTACCCGAGCTGTTTGAGCGACCGTCTGCAGCAATCTCCTCATTTCTATCATCGTCGTCATCAGTGTCTATGTCGATGTCAAAATTCACATTCATGTCCTCATCATCGTCACTGAAATAAATACTTGGCTCAAGAGCTGTGCTAAAAGATTTCTTCTCCACGGGTTTGCTGATGTCACCCTTCACCGGCACGTCCTCTGCCTTGTCTTCTTTCTCTGTGTTCACGGCTTCATGTTCTTTTGGCTCCGGCTGCTCTTTTTCAATCTCCTTCTTCTTTTTCTTTCTTTGGCTTTGTTTTCTTTTGCTTTTTTTACCTGTGGAAAAGACAAAGACAGATCTGTAAGAAGAATATCTGCATTTTTCGTACTTTTTAATTTTTAAACATTTCAGCTCACTTTTTAATAAAGAAACATCCTTCGGAAATAAGCAAATAGCTAATATTGTCCCACCATACATCAGTTGAGGACTATACAAGGTGAATCATCTGTCATAATAAACACGAATACCACTCAAAAATAACTGCAGGCACGACTATTATATCACACATCAAAGGAAACTTCTGAACCTTCATCATCTTCCTCAGCATCGCTGTTTCTGGGGGTGACAGGCTCCGTGACTGGCTGCAATTCATCTTTAAAGGAAAGAGGAAAAAAGGAACTCGACAGTGGTTCAACATTACTCCAACAAGTGGCGGTAACGCAGCAAGAAAAAATAAACATGCATGGAAACAATCGTGGTTTCTAAACATTCTTAATGGGGTTTTGCAAATGCGTTGAGGGAGGATTTGGGTGAACAGAGATTTGAGTCACATACCTGGAATCTCAATTTCCTCCAGAGTCTTTCCTTCGAATCGTTCGAGAGATCCATTCTCCAGTGCCGACAGAAGCTCTGATATTTTTGCGACATCGGCAGCTGCCTCGGGCGTCTGATAATACTCCCAGTCTGTCTGAATGTCACGGCCCAACAGCTTAGCTAGCTGAGTGAGCTCGTCATTTTTAAGGCTGAGAATCTGGAAAATTCTTACTATGTACTTACGAAAACACTGAGACCTGAGAGCTTCCTGGTTCTTTGCACCACAGCGATTAACGAACATCCTGATACACGCGTGTCCCTTGTGAAAGTCTGACCCTTTGCCACCAGGATTCCCAAATAAGAAGGGATTGTCCTTACCTACTCCACATGTGTCCCTCTTGTCCACAAGCACCGTTAGCGCAGAAAGCACTTCAGGGCTCAAAGTAAGAGCAAATATTTTTCCATTTGAGTTACTAACACCAATCGTGACTTTGTGCTTGGACAGAATTTGCTCCAACTGGGTCTGTGAACCAGCAGCATCTTCCTGAAGCTCTGTGGAAGCCCTTTCCTTGAATGACTGGAGTGTCACCCTTGAAACATCCTGAATATTTTTGTTTAAGAAGGACACGAATGCAAGTACCACTTTGAGAAGCGCGTTGTAGACCGGTGTTACTGCATACATCATCAGGCTCTGGACTGCAGAAGCTGTTGTCCTGTTCAGGCACTTGTAGAGCAGCATCACATCTTGTGTAAACTGTAAGGTTGGCTGGCAGGGTGTTTTTGGTTGTGATTTTGCATGGGAGGGCCATTCTTTCGAACACAGCTTAATAAATGCTTCAGCTTCCTCTAACACCTCTTCATCACCATCCTTCAAAGCCCTGGCGTATTTAATGTCAGCGATCTTCTTCAGCGAATTTCCAAGCTTCCAAACGAGAGATGGTTTGTCAAACGACTTCGACCCCTCTTTGATGCCCGCAATCTCCTGGACAGCTTCTACAACGGCGTTGAAGTTTTGGGGCTTGACTGCGTCTTCGAAGCTGTTTATCGACTTCTTTCTTAACGTTATCAGGATCCGTGCCATTTGCCTCAGCTTCTGAGTGACGTATCCCTGATTCTGTTTCTTCTCTCTCATGTGGTAGCAACATTGTGCCAATTGTAATATGTAAGAATCTTCGCAAACTACAGAGGAAATATCGTCTTTCTTCATTTTTTTCAACATCTTCTTCACACCTGTTGAGATCTGTTCAGGGTCCGTTAGTCCAGTGGCGGCAACCAAAGTTAAGATTTGACTCTGAACGCCTTCTGGAGGTTTATTGGATGCCATCGAGGGACACTTTTGCATATGATGCCACACCACTTTACGATGATACATGCGTTTACAATATACACAAGTGGCGAGTGTTTTAAGTGTGGACATCTCCGATTTTCTTTCCACTTTCAGTTTTCCTCTGCGAGCCTTCAAGACTCCTTGGTTGTGTTTGAAGTTTCCTTTGTTTCGCAACATCTCCAGACGCTTTTTGCGTTCTTTGCTGTTCCTGCGCATTGCGTACACTTCAGCAATTTCAGGTTCTTCCTTTCTATGCGTGAAAAGGTGACGAGAAATTTTAGTTTGAGGTTTCCCACAAACGTAACAGTAATTTCTGTTAGTGAAGGAAGTTTCTTTAGACTTTCCATCAGAGTCAGACTCATCGGAGTCCGACATATCGTTCGGCGCTTTGGAAGAACCGGCCTTCGAGTCATCTGCATTTTCTTCAAATTCTTGATCCTGGTCATCGTTTTCGGTAAAACTGTCATCATTGCTTGGTTCATTGTCAATGACATAATCTTCATCAGAGAAGCATTCTGCAGAACTGAATTCCTCATCTGAGTTTTCCACCTAGAATTAATTAAGAAAAAAGGCAAATTTCTGCACATAACAGAACCCAACACACAAATCTAACTGCACTCTGATTTTCTTTACAATAAACAAGCCACTTAACACTCATGCTGATAGTCCAGACTCCCATGTTCTCTCTGTTTGTCTTAGTTTAGTTCAGAGCGAGTTCTCCCTCGTTTTTGGCCGACATATTTAGGCTTAAAATTCTGTTTGGATGGATTTTAAACGCTTTTAATAACTTCAACAGAACTTTACACTTGAATCATAGTTATTAAAGAGAGGCATCAAATCACTCCCTGTCTTCACCACCCACAACACTGGATGCATTTATTGCAAACAATGCATTTTGACTCAATTAACAGCATTATGATTGCTACTGTGTATTTAGTGCCTTTTTTCATTCACAGATGTCGTTATAAGCAGAAGGTCTTCAGAAGAGACTGTGCTGCTAGATTACCGATGGACTCTTAGGGAAGTTAAACCCTTTTAACCCTTTTGTAAATACCAGACATCATAAAGTGATGAATCCCGAGTCTGCAGTCACATTTACAGTGCTGGTGTTTAATATAAAACAAATCTTGTTCAACACCTACTCTTTCATCCACTGTCGAAGACGCTGCAGTCTCCATTTCTGAGGTTTGTGGTTCTTTGTTTTGATTCTGTAAATAAAAAGAAGACAGCAAAGTCAAAAAGAAAACTTCCTGTATATATTCTCATATACTGTTATGAACAGAGGTTAGAAATTTACACACAGGGACAAAGAACAAAGAAGTCCATCCAACATCATACCAAACCAAATAAACCTACTGCTGATCGCCAAGCGTAAGAGGACTGCCCATAGTTGTAAGTTATCTCCTCGCCTGGAGATATTTTCTTCAGAGCAAACAGGCACAGATGTGGTTTCCCCTCATGAGCAATTTTCTTCATTTTGCAGTTGGGGCTTATGTGATCATCATTCACGAGTCGTCCGAGAGTCCCATCCTCTGCAGAAGCATCAATGCTGCAGGGCAAATGCTCACAATGAACCTTCAACCACTGTTAAAATTATGCATTTTATCACAGTGACTGGGACTGATGGTGGTGACGGACAGTCAGTGTCTGCACATTCAAGCTATCTTTATAATTAGGTTGAGTAAAGTAATGTTAAAGAAAAGCATGTTTCATGCACATAATGAAGATTTTTTTTAAAAACCTGGATCTGACTTGATATCAACCTTTCTCAGGATACACGAGGGCTTTCTATTAAACATGAGCTTTTAGACATTTTAAAACAAGAACCCTCCTTATATTGCTGAAAACTCACCACCAGCTTGTTCCGTTCCAGGAAAACTGAAACAAGAAATTGTTGAGGGTGTCTACACATTTCTCTGGACGGGTTTCTCCACAGGTTGAGTAGTTCCCCCGATACTCAACAACAAAGTTGGATGGCTCAATGGCTTTATTGGTGAACACACCTCTCCCTACAAATATGCAAAAAAAAAAAAGTTTGATTCAGTTACTAATTTGTAGTCATAAGACCAATCCATGGTAACAACTAGACCAATAGTAATCAAATAGTATTTACGAAAAGAAAAGTGTAGCAATAACGTTTCCTGATGTATTCACCGTTTACATGATCTATTATAAGATTACCTTTCAGTGTCTCATATCAACAATCAATAGGGGCTGAGACTAAAAGCCAGTTTACAAAAACAACCATAACAGGGCAGTTATAAGGGATTCATGACCAACCTTTAGTGGAATTAATAAACATTTCCTTCAGGAAGGATTTGTCCTTGCAAGCCTTTATGTGCTGCATGGCATCCTGCTCAGGAGTTAGCTGTCCGCCTTGCTGATCCACATCATCTGAAGTCCAAAAATATTATTGAAATACAAAAATCATTAACACAATTTTCACATAAACTATTTTTGATGTAAAGATGAAGATGTGTTATCATCTGTTTCAAACAAATAACAGCATGCTGCAGTTTCTCTCGCCTTTTTTAGTTTATTCACCATTCATGTTGTGGAACGAAGCAAACTATGTGCACGCCCTGGATACAGAGGGTGAGTACGTCCTCACCTTTGGTCATGTTTTAAAATTTTGTTTGGGTAGCTCTTAAAGGATTTTAATGAGCTCCCTGATAGTGATGAATATTGTAGTCAGTCATTATTGAATGTAAGTAGACAACACTGTCTAGTTCTTTTTAAAAATCCTTCATAACTTCATTAACCTTTTAAGGTTGTTTTCTCTGTGTAAGTACTGTTCATGACAGCTAACCCAATATAGTGGAAAATTTAAAAGTTGTAGCTTAAAAATACAAATATCCTCTGATTATAGCCTTGTAGGGGCAACTTAGGCCTGCAGGCCCCGAGAGAACAGGAAACAGTTTAGAAAAACAATATTTTGATTTTCTAGTTGCATTAATAAACACATCTGGACAAAATTTAAAGTGGTATTAAAAAGGTTACTGGAATATGGCATCCCTTCATTTTGTCCTCATGAACATTTGTGTGAAACCTGATCATGTTTAGCGAATGAATTCTTTGACCCTCCCATCCAAAATCTTCAGCTTATTTTTGAGTTCTTAGAGTTTTGAAGTTGGAGATTTTGAGATTCATTGTTTTCACA